AGAAGAGAAATGGAGATATAAACTATACACTTATCTGTTTGGAAAAATCCATTATATATATATATATATATATATATATATATATATATATATATTTGATAATAGCATTTTTAAAATGGATTTTATTTTAGGAAAATATTTGGACAAGTTTGAGGTCATATTCAGAATATTCAGAGGAGGGTATGTTCTTACAACATTTTGAAAATATGAAACACTGGGAGGAAACTAAATATCAACCTATGGGACTATAATTATAGGCTTTTATGCAGTAGTATGCTGTAGCAATTCAAATTATGATCCAGCTCTACATTTGATAACATGAAAGGATATTTCAGACATTTAATGGGAAAATCAGTGCTATATACATTTTTATTTTATTATTTTATTTATTTGTTTTTKGCACTGAAGATTGAAGCCAGGGGCACTTAACCACTGAGCCCCAYCCCTAAATTTTTTATTTTTAGACAGGATCTCACTAAGTTGTTTAGGGCCTTGCTAAGTTCCTGAGGCTGGCTTTGAATTTGTGATCCTCCTGCCTCAGTTTCCCAAGCCATTGAAAATACAGGCATGTGCCACTGCAYCAGGACTGATATATTTTTTTAATTCGTTACACTTTTATTCTGATAGGGTTTGAGGAATATTAAATGTCTTCTTTTCCTTTTTATTCATTTGTRGTTTCTAATATTTAGATTGATATATTGTTCCTTGCACGATTTTTTATGTAGAAGAAAATTTTTTWAACTTTTCAAATAAAGGAAAAAAATGAGTTTAGTGTATTCTTCCCCTTGGATCATGAAGCTGAAACACCAATAAACTCTCATTTTTCAGTTGTTTGTTTTCCTGCAATTACTCATATCATCTTTCAACAACTCTATTAATTGCCTTCTATGAGAGAGGCCCAGGAGACGCCCACATTCCTAATTCCTTTGTCACTCATATAACAGCCTGAAGCATTTCAGTCACCTTTTATCACATTCTCTGTTCCCAAAATTATAAGGTATTTTTTCATCAGTTTTATTTTGAGGTAACTATTTATAAGATCACAGATATTTTCTTAAGTATCTTCAATGAGTTCTCTCACATATGCTAAAATTAGCATTATTTAGCCTTTTAACAGATTTTCTAATTCTGTTATAAATTTCTTTAGAGTGTGATGAAGAAATAGTTGCTTTTTTAATATGTTAATTGCTGTCTAGAAGAGAAGCTGACACAGAGCTAGTACTTAATAAATATTTATTGAATAAATTAAATCAGGGATCAATTTTTGAGAGTGCTAAACTCTTTCTAGGGAAGACCTTCTTATCATTCCTGATGATGCATCAAAAGAGATTCTTAAGTTTATTTAAGAATCTTCTACCACTACTCAAAAGTCTCAAAGAAATCAAAAGTACAAAAGGAAAATATTGGTCTGTTTGCTAGTGTGTAATTCTGGAMTCTGTCCTGAAGATGGCAGGATCCCCCACTGTCAGCAGGTGAGATTCCTTGGCTGGTATCCAGGAAAAACAAAATTCTTTTGTCTTCTTAGGTCTACCATAGCCATGCAAGCAGCTGCCTTGGGTTCTTCCGTTGGAACAGCAATTGTTGGAGGTATTCTTACAGGTGAGTAAAAAAGTCAGTACTTCCCTGTACCCTATGGTCTCTGGATAATAGCTGGTTAATAAGCAAGTCAAATGGTAAATTCAGAGTATTCTAAACTTCTGGCTATAAAATAATTATGTCAGTTTAAGGAGGTGATTTTGTAACAGTGTTTTAATTACTATTTCCTCTTCAGCCTCACAATATGATTTATTTTCCTTTTACCTTCACAGGTTTAATTCTAAAGATWCCTTTCTGGAAACAGCCATCTGACCAGAATTGCTATGATGATTCTGTTTATTGGGAGGTACTGTACAGAATCCTAAACAATGTAGTTGGGAACTGTGGTACACACCTTTAATTCCAGCAACTCAGGAGGCTRAGGCYGGAGCATTGCAAATTCAAGACCAGCCTCAGCAATTTAGCAAGACCATCAGCAACTTAGTAAAACCATGTCTTAAAATTTTWAAAAAATTAAAATAAAAAGGACTGGGGATATAACTCAGTGGTTAGTGCCCCTGGATTCAATCCCCAGTATCAAAAAATAAAAATTAAAAGAAAAAGAATATAAATGATAGCTCCACTAGTAAAAAGTTTTGCTCATCTTAAGCATAYATGTCTGTGTGGCATCCATAAAGATGAAAATGGATGATATCCCCRTTTAGACAAAAATAGAGACTGTACATACAGCCAGATAAAATCAGAATTTATGAGTTTTTTCCAAAGCAGAAACTTATGAAGAAAAGACAAAATTTAGTTGACAAATGTCTTGTCACTCCTCTGATAACAATTAAAAAGAGCTACTTATAAAAAGAAATAAGTCCTGAGCAAGAGTGTGAGACATTATTCCAAAGGTAAAAGTAGGAAGAAGCAAATGGAATGTGTAAAGTTGAAGACCTTGAGTGAGTACACATCAACAGGCCCTATAATAACAAAATCAGCTTCTTTCTATTCTCCACTTTCTGCCTATTTACTCCATTGACATTTTGTTCTACTGTTTCTTGTAAAACTCAAGTGAGATAGATGTTTGCGTTTTTCAGCAGGACTTCCAGGGAGAAGAGGCTTGGGAAAGGAGGAAGTGTAATCAAAGTGGATGAGATAAATAGTTTTGTTCTTTAATTTTTTCCTCAACTCCAACTTATTCCCAAATCTTTCTAACTTCAGATAATAATTAAGAAAATACCATTGTTTCAATACCCAACGTCTGTCAGACCCAGTGAAAGAATCTTGTTTTCTTTAAAGGTCCCTCCAGAGAAAGAATATGAGAGACACTTCCAACTCCACAACATGCTGGAACCCGAAGCCTAATACCATTGCTGCTCTCCAGCTTTCTTTTCTATCACATACAGTCAAGGTTAAATAAAGAAAAAGGCAGCATGTGAAGAGAATATGGACCAGAGTGGACCGATGCTAATCCCCAAATAGCCAATGTAAAAATGTCTGTATATCGGATGCTGTCTCTTGATATTAGAATGATTGCTTAATTGAAGGGATATGGCTCATAAAACAGATGGTCAATGCTTTCTATCYAGAACTTAGTATGCTTTTGCCAGTAAGTAAGTTCAGAATGACAACTGATGTATATTCTTGAATTTTTCCCAAAGAAGTAGTCATGTCAGACTTTTAATGTAAATACAATTGATATAATTCCTTCAATCCTTATGATTATARAAGGGAAGCCAATGAAACAACAATAAGTACAAGGAATCTACATAAGAAAAATGAAAGAAGTGCTTGTAAATAAGCAATGATATTATTGTTTTGGGTAGTGTTTGTTATTTTAATAGATCACATTAGTAATATTATATCTTGAATATTTTTAATTCCTTTAGCAAATTTAGTATTTTCAGAAAGAGTTCAAATGTTATATTATCACCATCCATTTTGTATAAAATTTCAAAGAATTAAAAATTATAAAATAAAGCATTAGTCTTTAAATCTCCTTTTTGTTGGTTAAAATTCATTTTAGTAACATGCACGAACACACACACTCACCCCCTCATATGTTATCCATACTTTAATTAAATGTATTGCTAATGTATTTTAAAACCAAGTAATTGTATTATAGGATAAGTTTTTTAAAAATCAGTTTTAGGGCTTGGGATATGGCTCAGTGATACAGCACATGCCCAGTGTATGTGAGGCAGGGGTTTGATTCCCAGCAATCTAAAACAAAAAAGAAAAGAAGAAATGAAGAAAGAAAACTTTCAGGAAAATCAAAAAACTTTTTTTTTTTCTGTCTGGAAAGTTTTAAGATTTATCTTGTATCCCTGAAGTCCTGAAATTTTGCCAGAATGTGTATCAATGAGGAATTGGGCGCCACCATAATTAACAGAACTTTAGTTTCTGACTGCTAGGACTTTAAAATTACAGCTAGGAGTAGATTGCTTAATATTTTATTTCAGGGAAAATATATTATCATTTACTTATATTGCACTGGCTATTCAGGTGACTTCTTTCACCCAGGACCTCCTTCAAACARCTCTTCTAAGTGTGCTGTCTTACAAGTAAGTCCACTATTCCCTCCCTTGCTAATAATCGCAAGGCTTTTGAAACTGCCTAAGGCTTTTGAGACTGCCTGAGTCCCTGCTGATTACAAGGCAGATCTCAGAGGGTCTTGGCTATGTTCGGGTCTAGGAAAAAAAAAAAAAAACTATTATTTTTATTTGCTCAAGAACTAAGTCATGAAGGCCATCACGTTCTGGGTTGTGAACACTCASATCTGCCTCCCTGCAATGCAGTTTTTACCAACAACAAAGCCTTGTTTTTTAAATTTGGAGTTAACATCCTTTTTTCACAGTAGTATATCACCTCTTTCTTTCTATCTTGCCTGGGATTTACTGAATCACTTTAATCTGAAGAGCTGAATCTTTTGCTTAGATAAATTATCTTACTACTTAATAAAATTCCTCTCCTCTATTCATTTTTGTTCTGCTAGCACTATATCAATCTCATGGAAAGTCTGTTGGATCTGTTATCCAAATCTTTCTCACTTTATTTCATTAGTTCACTTCATTTTCTGCTTTAATTCATTTTTGCTTGTTTGTATGTTTGAAAATTGTTGTCCATTTTTATAGATCCAAGAAAGTTTTGTGTGTATGTGCACAGGTATATATGTGCTGTTCTTAAATTTCCTTAATTTCTTTCATAATTTTGTTTATTGGGAGGGGTTTATTTTTGTTCACTTTTAAAGTCTAATCCTGCTCTTAAATTTATTTATKTWTTATCTATTCCCTGCAAATATTAAGATGTCAAGTAATACCAGTTTGTTAGCTGTTTGCTTTGATTTAAAATCTCAAGTTCTACCTAGATGATCGGTTTCAGGAAGCTTTCGTTATTCTTTGCTCCTTTGTCTAAATCTGAAAGATTGGCCTAACTGCAATTTCAGAAAGTTTTGTGAAAGCTGAGATAGTTTCCGGCTTATTCTAGCCCTTGTTTTCATAGTCTTTAAGCTGTTTATTGCACTAGATAAGAAAGCTCTGTTGATGGGGTCAAAGGGAGTCTCCACAAGCTCTATTTTGTTCAAAATCATTATCTTTTAAAACAAACTCTTACTGGTCTCTTGATTCTTTACACTCTAAGTGCTGGAACCCTACTAGGTAGATTGTCCATTTCTTCTATCTATTCACTAGAAAATAAGTTCCTGCGCTGAAGTATGGGTGCCRGAGGGAGGCAAAAGTCTTGAAAATGTAAACCAGGTATAATCTTTAATCTCAGTGGCTCAGGAGGCTGAAGCAGGAAGATAGCAAGTTTGAGGCTAGCCTCAGTAACTTAGCAAGGCCTAACCAATTTAGTGAGATCCCAGCTCAAAGGTTGGTGACTTACCTCGGTGGTAAGTCACATTCCATTTGCTCCTAGGTTCAATCCCCAGCAACAAGAAAAAAAAAAAAAAAAAAAGTAGAGAGGCACAGCAATTTCTGAATGAATGCTGAGAGATTTCCTGGGGGTCATAATTCACTTCTCTGGATTGCCACCTCAAGAAAATCTGTTTTCTAGTCTTTTCAACAAGCAAAGCTTAGCATTCTCCTAGAATTGTGGCTGAAAGTGACTTAATATCAAGACCTTCTGCAGCTCCTGGGGGACCAGGAATACTTACTACCAACCCAGAAACATCAATTGAGAAAATAAATCAACAACCCATTGGCATTCACAAATCTCTGAGAACTAATAATACCCAGATCKTTACCTCATGGGTCTCCTTCAACAGCTTCCAGCCTCCAAACTCTCCTCCACACAAAGGAGAAAAGTTCTCTATCAACACAGTTTTTTGTTTCTCCAGAATCCATACAAATGGCCAACAGAATCCAAACTTTTACATCTTCCAGGCATGGTTGCTGCTTATCTCAGGAGAAATCCTATAGTTCAATTAGAATTGTGGAATGAGATCAAAAGAGACACATGCAAGCTCCCATCTCCCCCACTTAAATAAAATATAAAGATTTCATGTATTTTACAATTTAAAATTGTTTCTTATGGCATTTAAGTGTGAAAAAATAAATTTCTTAAGAACTGACACACTCATTTTTTGCATAATCTTTACATTTGGAATAAAGCACATAAATTAGATGCTTGTTTAGTAGGTGAGTGAATAAATAATCAAATAAAAAAAGAAGYAAAGGGACATATTTTTAATTTTTGTTCTTCTCTGTTCCAGACTCTGTAAATACAAAAATGATCAAGTTCTCAATCTTTCTCTAACTTTTCATAACATTGACCCTTTTGAATACTATAGGCCAGTTATTTTGCAAAATGTCTCCAGTCTGGATTTGTCTGATGTTTCCTCATTAGATTCAGTTTATATGAATTTACCAGCAGTGTTGCAAAAAGAAATGTAATTGTTGGACCACATCCTACCAGTTGGAGAAGTTTTTGAACTTGTTGTGTTATTGATGATTGCTCACTTAGCTCACTGATTAAGGTAGCATGTTTCTTCTCTTTAAAAAGTCTTCTTTCTACCTTTGTAATTAATATTATTTTGTGGGAAGCAATGTGAAGTGTTCTATATCCCTATGCCAATGTCTTATTCCTCCTCAATCTTGAAATGTATTCATTTACAAATTTATATCACTATAGTCTCATGATTTTTATTTTAGTAAATTATATACAAGATTGTTGTGATGAGAAAATTGTCCCAGACTTGACCCATGCAAGCCTATTCCAGCTGGTTTCTGTGTCTTTTTGACATGTACTTCACCTTGTGCTTTGCCTGCTCCAGCTCTGGCATCAGCCATTTCTTTGAGTCCTGCTTCCTTTCTACAAGGTAGATGTGCTCATTGCCTCTTTTTGGCCCTCTCTGTTGTTGTAAGAGA